GTGTGTCCCCCCCCCCCATCACGGCGTCAGGCATTTCACGCCGGCGTCCTCGGCGTGGCCGCAGTTGGTCTTGCCCCAGCTGGAGAAGCTGCAGTGCAGCAGCGTGTCCTCTGTCCCCTTGCAGGAGACGTCGTCCATCCAGATCCTCCCAGTGCCTGCAAAAAAAAAACCAGGGACCCAGTAAGCGACCCCCACCCCAGCACCCACCAAACTCAACCTCTAGAAATAAGGATTTGGGCTTCTCGGAAGCTTCGAGGTGTCCGTGGAGGATGAAGGACGCCCTTGGACAACTCAACATCCTATAGCCCCGCTTTGAGACCCTCCCAGCGTGGCCCCTTGGAGATGAAGGACTCGAGCAAGACCAGCTCCAGGGATGGCTGGATCCAAGAACGCTGCAAAAAGCCAGTGGTTTTGTGAAATTTTCCTGCAATTATTTGTAACGTGGGTGTGGGTGACCCACAACTACCCAGAGAAGCTGTGGGTGCCCCATCCCTGGAGGGGTTCAAAGGCAGGTTGGAGGAGGCTTGGAGCAACCTGGGCTGGTGGGAGGTGTCCCTGCCCAGGGCAGGGGGTGGCACTGGATGGTCTTTAAGGTCCCTTCCCACCCAAACCACTCTGTGATTTGATGATTCTCCCCATCTCCCCCCCATGGAAACACAGACACCAGGTCTCCCACTCAGGCATTGGGTGCAGCATAGTCCATCTGGCACGTGGCCATGGGGCAGCCCCAGATTTTGGGGGCTACCAAGCCCCTGGGGATGCACAATCCCTTTTCTGGAGGAAACACCCCCAGAAGAGACACCAGCCACCAGCACATGAGGGGTTGTGGCCGTGGCAAGGCACTGGATGTACCACATTCTATGGGGATCAGTGGGGTTCTCCTGGCCCATCAAGGATGACCAAAGGTGGCACCATGATGTGGTAGAACCTTTGGGGCTGTGACTCTGCATCTGCTGGGCTGGGGCATTTGGAGGCTTTCATTGCCATACTGAGGGGGTCACAGGAGGAGGAGAAGCACCTCTTCCCAGCTGGGACACCCCAAGGCAAGTCTATCCCCCTAAAGCAGGCTCCAGGTGATCCCAAGTGGCTCTACCAGCTTTGGGGGGTGGTAGAACACCAGGGTGGGAGACAGGGCAAAGGAACCCAGGGGTGGGCAGCCAGATCACTGGTGGTGAAATGAGCTCTGAGGTCTCCCGAGGCTGGTATGAGGGACACCAGCTCTTGGAGGGGTGCTCACAGAGAAGGTCTGGCCAACTGGCACGTTCATGGGTAGATGATGGCCGTGGTGGGCACCTGCTTTTGGGATCCAGCATCTCCTTGGCAGCCCAGAGGACTTGGAGGCAACTCAAGGATTTAAAAAGCCTGCGTGGAGAGGGAGCTGGTCTGGGCAGCAGCACCCTGACCCAACAGTTTGGGGCCAAAGGCCACCCCTCCACCCACCAAAGTGTCCCTGACATTTCCCCAATGTTTGTAAAAGCTTTTCCTTTTGTTTTTTGGGGTTTTTTTCCTTTTTCTTTTGTTTTGTTATTCTAAAAAGAAAAAAGATCTCAAGAAGTCACATCCAGCTGAAAAAAACCCAAAGCTTACGTTCAAAAACAACAAGCCCAGGGGTCAGTTCCCCGGTGCTGAGTCAGCAGCCAGGGACCCGCAGCAGAGGATGGAGCCACCTGGGCCACCGCCAGCCACGTGCTTGTGGTCCCTCAAGCCACACCCAGGGCTGGCCCTGCTGAATAAACCAGTGCTCCACCAGAAAGAAGCTTCTCAGGCCACCACAGCCCCTTGTTGGCTCATGGGGGGCGTGCTGGAAGCCTCCAGGGTCTTTTTTGGGGGGGTCTCTGGTCTATTTATGGGTTGGCCCAAGGTGTTGCTGTTGGATGAGGTGGGGTTAGAGGTGGAAGGGTCTTACCTTGGCCGAAGCGGGCCATGCGATACACCTCCTCGGCGCCTCGGAAGCCCAGCATCCGGCACACCACGTCTCCATCCTTCTTGTCCCAGCCGTCGTCGCACACCGTGCCCCACCGCCGGTCGTAGAAGACCTCCACCCGGCCCTCGTGGGAGCCGGAGCCGTTCACCAGCCGTATCATCCCCTCCTCGGTGGCTGCTGCTGGGAAGAGACAGGGATGTCAGAGGAGCCACAGTGGCATCTCCACGTGCGGCCCCTTGCCCTCCTCGAGGTGCCCACAGCTGCAGAAAGCACTGGCTGATGCACCTCCAGTTGACCTGAGGACATCTCACCACCATTGGATATGGAGCTGGAGGGGTCCCATCAAACCCAGGGTTTTGTTGGAGGAAACTGACCCTTCCAATGGTCATGCCAAGATGGGAAATCTGTTTGCAGCCCAAAAGTGCTCGAGGGAGGGCAGGAACCAAGCAAGGATTGGCCCTGAAGCCATCAAGGTGAGACCAGAGACAGCTCAGGCTTGGGATGAGAAGATCTGAGTGAAAACACAGGAGGAGGAAGATGCCCAGCAAAACCAGGGCACTAAGGGTTTCCAAAAGGGGATTAGAAAGGGAATCTCAGGAGATTGGGAGGCTTTTCCAGCCTGGAGACAGGACCCAAGTCCACGTTCCCCAGGTGGGCCCTGACTTCATGCTTGCTCCAAGCCCCCTCCAACCTGGCCTTGAACCCCTCCAGGGATGGGGCAGCCACAGCTTCTCGGGCCAACCTGGGCCAGGCTCTCACCACCCTCCCACCAAACAAGTTCTTCCCCACAGCTCAGCTCCATCTCCCCTCTTGCAGTGTCCAACCCTTCCCCCTCCTCCTAGGGCTCCCCTCCCTCATCCAGAGTCCCTCCCCAGCTTTCCTGGAGCCCCCCTTCTTGAGGGACTGGCAGGGGCTCCAAGGTCTCCCCGGAGCCTTCTCTTCTCCAGGCTGACCCCCCCCAACTCTCTCAGCCCCCCCTCCCAGCAGAGGGGCTCCAGCCCTCCCAGCATCTCCATGGCCTCCCCCGGGGCTGTCATGCAGCTGGGCTGGCCCCGTGACTCACCCCGGGCTGGGACAGCAGCCACGGGTGGAGCTGGGCTCCCCCAGACAAGATTGTGTTGCAGTTCCTCGGGGACTTTTAATTCAAAACCATTTTCTCAAAGCCAAGGTGGGGTGGGTTCCCCCCCCCCCCGTCAAAACACACATTCCCAGTGGAAATGCTCGATGACACGACTTCTCAGATGTGAAGACAGATGGGGTTTGGGTTGCTGTGTGAAGCATTTCCAGGCAGACCGAAGCCTCCTCCTTGATGACCATCAACTTTCCAGCTCACTCTCTGTGCCCAAGGCTAGTCCCCAGTGAAGGAGGGGTTGAGGAGCTGCATTCTACTTCCACGCCACCAAACCCACCACAGTCACAGCCACCACCAAAGTCTCCTCCATGCAAAAGGGAACAAAACCTTCTCATCTGCTGTGATTTTGCCCATCCATGGGCCATGGCACCTTCTCAAGTGATGAACCCCAAAGGTCTCCATGCCACGACGTGACCATTGCAGAAGAAGCTGCAAAGAGCTGAGTAGAATCCCAGAGAAGCTGTGGCTGCCCCATCCCTGGAGGGGTTGAAGGGCAGGTTGGAGGGGGCTTGGAGCAACCTGGTCTGGTGGGAGGTGTCCCTGCCCAGGGCAGGGGGTGGCACTGGGGGGGCTTTAAGATCCCTTCCCACCCAAACTGTTCCATGAGTCCGTAAAATCCAATGTTGGTCCGACATCTACATTGACTTTGCGGTGGTGGGATGTCATGGGCACCTGTGCTCAGCTGAGGTCTCTTCAGGCACCTTGGCCAACCAGGCTGGTGACCATGAGGTTGGCCAAGGTGGGGGAAGCAGGGTCCCAGCCTGGGAGGGACAGGGTTAATGGGACATTTAGAGACCGGAGCAGCCTTTGGGTTCTGCTGCACAGCGATACAGCAGGTTTTGGCACCACCAGCTGCCTGGGACCTGCCCAAAACTTGGTCATTTTTTCATGTTTCAGGCTCTGGGTTTTCCCTGGCTCCTTCCCAACGGGAACAGGGCCACCTCTCCTGATGACCTCCAGAAAACACAGTCCTTGCTTGGCCTCAGCACCGGCCGATCTCCCACTTCCAGGACCCGCTCGGGGTCAGGCTGAAGAAGGCGCCTGGAAAACCCTGCGCTTGTTTTCCTGGATCCGGGCAGAGGATGGGGCTCATGGAGGAGCCAGGAAACATCTCGTGCTGTCCCTGAACCATCTCGCTGATGTTTTTGCACAGCCCTTGCTGTGGACACAGAGGGGTGGCATCACATCTCATCAGAGGGGCTGCTTTGGGGTGCTGCCGGCTGTCTTCTGCACCCCTGAATTAATGAACCCTGGTTGCTCTCTGGGATGGGATGTCTCCTCCTGCACCGAGGCAGCTGCCCTGGCTCATCCCAGGGCTGGTGTCATCCCAGGGCTGCGTGAAGGACTCAGTTCCAGGTTGAACATATGGGACTGGAGCTGGGGACACTGCCTGGAGCTGCTCCTGCTGTGTCCAACGCCAGTGTCCTCTGCTTGGGAACCAGCCCAACATCTCTGCTCCAGGTGAGCAAAAAGGAGGTGGGATGGAGCCAGGGAAACCCAGGCTCCTGGCCAGAGAAACCCAGCATCCAGCTCCTCTCCACTGCTCATGTGGAGGTGACAAGCCACGTAGTGTCACCTTCCCAGCTCTACATGACCCCGGCCACCAGCACTGGGCCACCTCGGTGTTCCCCTTGCCTTCCTGCTCTCCCAGCACCGGAGAACCCTGTGGCTTTAGGACCACCGTCCCTCTTGCACCCTGGAGCATCCTGGGGCAGGGGGGGCCTTTCCTGGGTGCTGTCACCTAGTATCTGTGACATGGGAAAGCAGCAGCTAAATGGGGGCATGGAACCCCCCTGGCAGGTGTAATCCCCTCCATGAAACCATCCAGCTCTTCCTCCAACGCTCCTCACGCTCCCTGGTGCCTGGAGAACTGGGGAGGTGACTGACAGTCCAGGACCAGCTCCCTCTATCCAACACCATCTGGTTGCTCATCCTCGTCCAGGACCAGCTCCGTGTCTCCATCCCAAGCCGGCTGCTCATCCCAAAAATCCTCACTCCTCCCCTTGGAAGTCCATCCTCACCCCGACTCTCTGCTGGACACTCATCAGAGCCTGTGCGTGCTGGAGGACAACGGCCGCTTCTCCAAGGGATGGGACGAGATGTGGAACCAGGGCAGGGAGCCAGGCTCCGCGGGCTGTTCCCATTAATCAGCAGGGTGAGGGCTGCTAATAAAGCCCCAGAGCTCAGCCACGTGAGTCCTGGCCACTTACCCTCTGACAAACATCACTTAGAGAGCTCATAAAAGCTAATAAAACCCAGAAGTCTCCTCCCAAAACAGTCCCAGCTGCCTGCCATGACCCCACAACCCAGCCCAGGGCCCTTTTGGTGTCCACCAGCCCTGGAGACTCCAGAAAAGCTGCAGCTGGAGTTGGGGCTGAGCTGGAGTCCTGGCCCCGAGGAGCTGGTGGAACCAGGGGGACATACAGAGGGACCAAAGCTGGTTGTTGTCCACCTGGTTGTGCTGCAGAAGGTGGATGAGGAGCTCCAGAGGGACAGGAGCATCCCCAGCCGTGCTCTCTGCCTGCAGCCACCCCCTGCCCCGTCTGTCTCGGGGCAGCTCCCTGGCCCCCTTCTCTCTCCAACGTACCCAAAAAACCCCCCAAAGCATCATTTCTTCCTCATCCTGTGCCTTTGTTTTCGCTGCAGAAATTACTTCCGAAGGCCTCGACCTCCTCCCTCTCCAGCCCCCGACACCAGCACAAGAAGAAAGGAAAAGCCCAAAAGGGGAAATAACTCCCGGTGGCCGAGAAAACAAGGACCTGATTCTTTGCAGCTGGGCTGAGATATCATCTCCCCTCTCCTCCCCAGTAATGGAGACCATCTGCCCCCCGTTCCCTGGGCTTCCCACCACCTTCTCCTGCTGTCCCTGCTCCGCTTGGGTCCCTCTGGTTTGGATATAGGGATGGAAATGTGAATTTCCAGGAGGGGGGAGATGTGGGGTACGATTATCCCAGAAAATCAGACAGTGATACACCCCCTTTTTGGACTTTGTGGATGGGAACCAGCTCTGCTCGCCCACCAGGCAGTGGCTGGAGGGGGCTGGGGTCCTTGGTCCTTACTGGGGGGGCTGGTGCTTCCCACTGGGGTGCTCCCCAGCCATCCCTGCTGCTGCACCCCATCTGACCCTGCTGCACCCCTGCTCCTGGTGGCACCATTTGGGTGTTGTGGTGGCTGGTGGCCCAGCAAGGGACCCTGCTGCACCCCTGCTCCTGGTGGCACTGTTTGGGTGTTGTGGTGGCTGGTGGCCCAGTAAGTCCCCTGGGCTGCATCCCCAGCAGCGTGGCCAGCAGGGCCAGGGGGGGGATTCTGCCCCTCTGCTCCGCTCTGGGGAGACCCCCCCAGTGCTGCCTCCAGCTCTGGGGCCACCAACAGCAGAAGGACATGGAGCTGCTGGAGCGGGGCCAGAGGAGGCCCCGGAGATGCTGGGAGGGCTGGAGCCCCTCTGCTGGGAGGGGGGGCTGAGAGAGTTGGGGGGGTCAGCCTGGAGAAGAGAAGGCTCCGGGGAGACCTTGGAGCCCCTTCCAGTCCCTCAAGAAGGGGGGCTCCAGGAAAGCTGGGGAGGGACTCTGGATGAGGGAGGGGAGCCCTAGGAGGAGGGGGAAGGGTTGGACACTGCAAGAGGGGAGATGGAGCTGAGCTGTGGGGAAGAACTTGTTTGGTGGGAGGGTGGTGAGAGCCTGGCCCAGGTTGGCCCGAGAAGCTGTGGCTGCCCCATCCCTGGAGGGGTTCAAGGGCAGGTTGGAGGGGGCTTGGAGCAACCTGGTGTGGTGGGAGGTGTCCCTGCCCAGGGCAGGGGGTGGCACTGGGGGGGCTTTAAGGTCCCTTCCCCCCCAAACCAGTCTGTGATTCCATACCCCAGCCCCATCAGCCCAGTGGGGTCTGGGCACACCGAGGGCTGCAGAGGAACCCCCCCTGCTTGGCTCTGCCTTAACATCTCAACCACTTTCCTGGAAACATCCTTGGTCCTTGCAGGCTGCCGACATCCCTCCCCACTTCTCCGCCTCCTCCTTGACCAGACGTTCATCCCACAGGCTCCTGACCCCCCAAAGACCACCCCAACCCTGCCCGGAGCACCGGGGAGACAACCGTGAGTGAGCCCTTACCTGTGCTTCCACCTCGGTCCCCCTTCTCTCCCTTCGGGCCTCGGTCACCTGGGAAAAGAACGAGCAGAGGGCATAAATCTTGCTAAAAATCAGATATTTTTTTCTAGATATCCCACTCTTGGGTAACACCGTGTGTCTGTAGCTCTTGGGGGGCTTCAGCAGTTTGGGGAAACTGAGGCACGAAGCAGCAAATGAGTCGGTAGCCCCTCTCCTGACTGCTGGGGGTGGGACCCACCTTCTCACCCTCCCAGTTTCTCCTGGAATCCTTCTCGGGGTGTGAGAGGATAGGGAACCCCCCCAGAAACCCCTCCTGGGGTGCATGTCCCGTAGCAGGAGGAAGAGGGAGGGCTGGGGGGTGGGGGATCCCTCGAACCATCCCACCCCCTCTGCCACCCCCCACCCCAAGCAGCCGAGTCCTGTCTGTCGGGGATAAAGGAAAACAAACCCTGAATCTGGGGGCTAAAAAGTCACTATTTAGGGCTAAAAGGGCTTCATTTTGGAGGGGCCAGGGAGGTGTTTCCCTGCAGCCCCCACGGAGCATCGCCCCTTCCCACCCCCAGCCGGTACCTCCTCAGATTTCCTCAACCAAACCCTGTATCCATGGGGGGGGGGGGGGGGGGGGGGGGGTTCAGCCCAGCTGGGTAAACAGCCTGTTCTTCAAAACCACCCCTATTTCCATATAAAAATAACGAGCTCGATAATTATCTGTGTCAGGGCTTGGCTTTCCCCCCTGTGCCTGGAGAGCCTGGGCTGCCCCTGCCCCGCATCCCACCGCCTCCATCATCCCCTGCCTGGGCTCCAGCATCATTCCTGGTCTGGTGGGAGGTGTTTTCTCCTCGGAAACACCATCCCGAGTGTGTTTGTGGTGGGGGGTGTCACAGGTTTGGTTTTGCCTTTGCCCCGGGGCTGTGGAGGGAAGGGACAAGGGGAAAAAAAAAGGCTCCTGGGGGCTGCGATGCTCCGGGTGATCTCCAGCCCCTTCCATGCATCCTTCCTCTTTCGTCTCCGTGTCAGAACAACAAACAACACAGAGAGAGAGAGATTTCTTATAAAATAAAATAATAAAATTAAAAAAAAAAAAAAAGTGCAGGAAATTCTTGCCCTTTAACTTGGAGGCTCTGGGAAGGCGAGATGGGTCCCCTGGGCAGCCGCAGCTGTGTCAGATGGAGGAAAGCTGCCTGCAGCCTGTTCCCGCTGATGGGAACCAGATGACAAGGAGCCCTCCCCAAAATTCCCCCCCCCACCCCCCTCCTCTCCTCCTCCAGGCAGCGGGCGAGAGGCCAGAGATGCTGCTCGCCAGCACGTGATGGTACTGGGAGGCTGGAGCAGCCCCTCATCTCCACCACCTTCCTTCTCCAGCCCAGGGGGAAGGAGGGTGGAAATAAACAGCCTGTTCTTCAAAACCACCCCTATTTCCATATAAAAATAACGAGCTCGATAATTATCTGTGTCAGGGCTTGGCTTTCCCCCCTGTGCCTGGAGAGCCTGGGCTGCCCCTGCCCCGCATCCCACCGCCTCCATCATCCCCTGCCTGGGCTCCAGCATCATTCCTGGTCTGGTGGGAGGTGTTTTCTCCTCGGAAACACCATCCCGAGTGTGTTTGTGGTGGGGGGTGTCACAGGTTTGGTTTTGCCTTTGCCCCGGGGCTGTGGAGGGAAGGGACAAGGGGAAAAAAAAAGGCTCCTGGGGGCTGCGATGCTCCGGGTGATCTCCAGCCCCTTCCATGCATCCTTCCTCTTTCGTCTCCGTGTCAGAACAACAAACAACACAGAGAGAGAGAGATTTCTTATAAAATAAAATAATAAAATTAAAAAAAAAAAAAAAGTGCAGGAAATTCTTGCCCTTTAACTTGGAGGCTCTGGGAAGGCGAGATGGGTCCCCTGGGCAGCCGCAGCTGTGTCAGATGGAGGAAAGCTGCCTGCAGCCTGTTCCCGCTGATGGGAACCAGATGACAAGGAGCCCTCCCCAAAATTCCCCCCCCCACCCCCCGCCTCTCCTCCTCCAGGCAGCGGGCGAGAGGCCAGAGATGCTGCTCGCCAGCACGTGATGGTACTGGGAGGCTGGAGCAGCCCCTCATCTCCACCACCTTCCTTCTCCAGCCCAGGGGGAAGGAGGGTGGAAAGCAAAAGTTATGGTTCTTTGGTGGGGGGGGTTTTTCCTCCCCCCCGCCCCAAAATCCAGCTCTTTCAGAGAAGTTCTTTCCCTGCAGGATCTGGGCTGCATCCTGTGGGAATGGTGGAGAGAGGTGCAGGTGGGAAGGTGGGGCTTGATGGACAGGAATAGCTGGAGAAGGACTTTGAAAGGTGGGGAGGGACTTTTTACAAGGGCATGGAGTGATAGGACATGGGGTGGTGGCTTCAGACTGCAAGAGGGGAGATGGAGCTGAGCTGTGGGGAAGAACTTGTTTGGTGGGAGGGTGGTGAGAGCCTGGCCCAGGTTGGCCCGAGAAGCTGTGGCTGCCCCATCCCTGGAGGGGTTCAAGGGCAGGTTGGAGGGGGCTTGGAGCAACCTGGTGTGGTGGGAGGTGTCCCTGCCCAGGGCAGGGGGTGGCACTTAGGGGTCTTTAAAGTCCTTTCCCACCCAAACCACTCCATGATTCTATGATTGTATGAAGAGGCAGGGCTGGCAGGAGGCAGCAGAGCTGGTGGTGAGACCTCTCCAGCAGCTGGGAATTGCCACGGGGGCAACCAGGGGCTCCTGGCCCAGGCAGAGCGAGATGCCCAGCAGCACTTCAGGGCCAGATGCTGGTCCCCTGGGAGCCCCGATGTGGGTGGCATTAGCCAACGGGGTGCACCCAGGTCTCCAAAGAGCAGTGGATGGGCCCAGCTTAAGGATGCTGAGTGGCTCCAGGGGCTCCTGAGGAGCAGGAACTGGTTACAGATGGGGAAGGAGGAGCTGGTGCAATGGGAGCTACTGGAGGAGACAGGGAGGACAGCCCCATAAGTGATCCTGAGGTCACCTACAGCATGGGTCGGTGACACCGTTTCTTTCCCTGCAGGATCTGGGCTGCATCCTGTGGGAATGGTGGAGAGAGGTGCAGGTGGGAAGGTGGGGCTTGATGGACAGGAATAGCTGGAGAAGGACTTTGAAAGGTGGGGAGGGACTTTTTACAAGGGCATGGAGTGATAGGACATGGGGTGGTGGCTTCAGACTGCAAGAGGGGAGATGGAGCTGAGCTGTGGGGAAGAACTTGTTTGGTGGGAGGGTGGTGAGAGCCTGGCCCAGGTTGGCCCGAGAAGCTGTGGCTGCCCCATCCCTGGAGGGGTTGAAGGGCAGGTTGGAGGGGGCTTGGAGCAACCTGGTGTGGTGGGAGGTGTCCCTGCCCAGGGCAGGGGGTGGCACTTAGGGGTCTTTAAAGTCCTTTCCCACCCAAACCACTCCATGATTCTATGATTGTATGAAGAGGCAGGGCTGGCAGGAGGCAGCAGAGCTGGTGGTGAGACCTCTCCAGCAGCTGGGAATTGCCACGGGGGCAACCAGGGGCTCCTGGCCCAGGCAGAGCGAGATGCCCAGCAGCACTTCAGGGCCAGATGCTGGTCCCCTGGGAGCCCCGATGTGGGTGGCATTAGCCAACGGGGTGCACCCAGGTCTCCAAAGAGCAGTGGATGGGCCCAGCTTAAGGATGCTGAGTGGCTCCAGGGGCTCCTGAGGAGCAGGAACTGGTTACAGATGGGGAAGGAGGAGCTGGTGCGATGGGAGCTCCTGGAGGAGACAGAGGACAGCCCCATAAGTGATCCTGAGGTCACCTACAGCATGGGTCGGTGACACCGTGATGCCACCATCCCCTCTGCAGAGCAGCTAGACCCATCCCAAGCATTGCTGAGAACGGCCCATCATGATAGCTGATGCTGCTTTGGGTTTGTGGGTCTAACCAGAAGTTCTGGGTGTGCTTCTCCTCCTCATTCCCGACCCGTGCTACTGCCCCAGGGTTAAACTGAGTTGGGCATTTGTTGGTTTTTCTTTAGCTTCACATACATCTACCAGAGGAAAGACCCTTTACGAGAAAGAAGCGCTCTATGGACCATGCCCACAGCTTCCCAAGGGTCTTTCAAAACACATCCCACCCCCTCTGCCTTATCCTTCCCCATCCACCTTGGCTTTTCCCGTGCAGTCCTCCAAGCCCCTTCAATTCCTTGCTCTCCTGGAAGGCTTTTCCCCTGCTTTTCTCTTTTTCCCTTCTTCCCATCTCTCTTGTCTCCACAGAAGCTCTCTGGTGAGCAGAAAGGACATGTCCTTTGGTGGCACAGCTTGTTGTCTTCACCCTGGGGTCAAGCCCAGCTCCCTGAGGTGTCAGGGCTGGGGAGCATCCCCAGCTGGGGACAAAGCCCCAGGTGGAAAAGGGGAGCCTTTCCCGTGCAGTCCTCCAAGCCCCTTCAATTCCTTGCTCTCCTGGAAGGCTTTTCCCCTGCTTTTCTCTTTTTCCCTTCTTCCCATCTCTCTTGTCTCCACAGAAGCTCTCTGGTGAGCAGAAAGGACATGTCCTTTGGTGGCACAGCTTGTTGTCTTCACCCTGGGGTCAAGCCCAGCTCCCTGAGGTGTCAGGGCTGGAGAGCATCCCCAGCTGGGGAAAGCTCCAGGTGGAAAGGTGGAGCCCTGGGGCTGGGACAGAGCCCACGAGTTCAGGAGAACCTCTTGCTGGCATCACCGCTGGTCCTACCAGGAGATCCTGCCTGGTGCCTTCACTCAACAGGTATCAAGGTCTTCCTCAGCTGTTTTCCCACCTCAGGGGAATCACTGCAGCTCAGGCTGGTTCTTCTAGACTGTGCACACAATTTCAGCACAAATGCCACAATGAGCAACCCTCAGCTCTTCTCATGGCAGAAGCTTGGTCTCCACCGACGTCCTGCTCCTGGGCATCATCCCCGGCTCCATAAATGGGGGCTGCTGAGAGAGGCAGAGCCCAGAACCTGCAAAGCTCATGGGAGAGGACACCACTGGAGGAGGGAGGAGAGAGTTCCTGGGTCCGTAGGGTGAGGTGGACCACCATGGTCTTGGAGCAAGCACCAGGAGAAGCTGCAAATCCCCCCCCATCTCCAATGGCAGAAACGTGCTGTGCCTTCAGCAACACCTCAGAAACCTCCTCCTCGCCTGGAGGTGGCGTTTAGGAAGAGGAATTCTCCTGTTGCCCCGAATTTATCTCTCGATGGCAATCCCTGCCTTGGCTCGTTCATTGCTGTTTCCTCCTGAACGTCTTCCCTGCGTGACATCCCCCACGCGGGGTGCACCCAGGTCTCCAAAGAGCAGTGGATGGGCCCAGCTTAAGGATGCTGAGTGGCTCCAGGGGCTCCTGAGGAGCAGGAACTGGTTACAGATGGGGAAGGAGGAGCTGGTGCAATGGGAGCTACTGGAGGAGACAGGCTTCCCTGCGTGACATCCCCCACGGAAGAGCGAAGAAAGACCGATGCGCTTTCCACAATAATTTTCCCCATTTGGAACTAAGGAAAATAATACTCCGCTGGGGTAATTTAGAGGGGAAAATGCATCAAGGGTAGGAAAAAATACCAACAAGGGAAAACGCTCGGGGCTCAGCTGCGGAGAGGAGAAGCTGTCCCTCGACCGGGACAGACCATCTCTACCAGGTGGTTTGACCCGGGATTTTTGGTGAGGACACTCACCCACCCCGGATGCCCCCACCCCAGGACAGGCTGCATTTCCTGGGGAACCGAGAGCTCTCCTGCACCCAGAAGAAAGTCATTATGGACGTGTAAGACTAGTGCTGCAGAAAAACAGGCCTTCGCTTAAAGCCCGGGCTTGGAGCGTTGCCTGGCTCCGTGTCTGTTTCCTATAAATTTCAGAGAATCCCATAAACCGTAGAAATTTGGTGTTTGCTGCCAGCGCGGTTTGCTCTTTATTGGAGAAGGGGGTTGGATGAAGCCCCCTTATCTGCCCACCCCTGACCTCAGGGAGGTGGGAAACGGGGGCTGTAGCTTGGGGCTCTCTTCGTAAGGGGGCACATCCAAGCCCCGGAGGTGACCTCCATCCACATGGGCCAGAGAGACGAGGTGAAGGGAGGGAACCCTGTGCTGGTGATGGGCTCTGGTGGGACCTGGGGGTGGTCTGTCCCTCTGGTGGGAACGTCTGATGGCTTTGCAACCACGGAGTCATCCTCACCCCAAACCAAGGACGCCTCCAAGAAAAGCACAAGGAAGGGGGTGCATCCAGGCGATGGCTGGTGAAGTCCTGAGACGGGTTAACCTTCTTCAAGCCAAGAGGCCTCTTCAGATACAGGGATTACTCTGCACTGGTGAAAAGTTGATAGCTAAAAGCCATGCACCACATGGAAAAGGTCTGATCACCCTTTGGCATGTCTTCTGACCCATCACCTCCCAAAACCAGGAGCAGAAGTGCTTCATCTTGGTGGGTAAGGGGCCTTGAGATGCAGACTGGCTTTGGGGAAGAGTCACCGAGCTTGTGGGGGTTGATGCTCTACTACTGGGGCATGGCCACAGCTCTCCTTTAGAGGCAGGGACTGTAGTGGGGGTGGTCTCCACCACTTTCTGGGCTGGTGATCACCGGAGAAAGTCTTCATCCTCAGTGTTGTGTCTCCAGAGAGCTGCTTGCTGGAGCTGTGATGCCCACCATGGGGTCTGTTAACACATGACCCAGCACAGCAGCCATTCACATCTCTGTCTTAGAAGTGGAATCATGATGCAGGAGACCATCAACCTCCTCCCTCCAGGAGGGAAACGTCCTCCAGGGATGCCTTTTGCAGAACAAATTTGGCATCGGGGCTTGGTCCTCGACTGAAGCTCGATTCAACTGGCCCAGGCTCCTCGGGATAATTTTCTCATCTAATGAGTACTTGGCACCGGCCAGTGAGAAAAGCCCACTTTCCTCTGCTCCGGGGAAGAAAAGGAAACCGCGGCCCTGAAGCGTGTTGTGGTTTTGGGTTGGCGGACCTCGGCCTTTGATGTGCTGCCAGGAACATCTCGGCGCCGATGTCTCCCTCGCCTTAGCACCCGGCCCTTTGCAAAGCTGGTGCCAGGGAGGTGTCCCAGGGGTTGGTTTGACCTCCCGCAGCATCAGGCCAGGCGTTTTCACCCCAGGACTCGGGTGAAGTCCTGTCCCCCCCAACACCACGACACCGCCATCCCGCAGGCCAGAGCTACCTCCAAAAACCCCGAGAGATAGCGCTGGAAAACAAGCATGAAAGGCTGGCTTCATAGAACCATCGAATCACAGAGTGGTTTGGGTGGGAAGGGACCTTAAAGCCCCCCCAGTGCCACCCCCTGCCCTGGGCAGGGACACCTCCCACCACACCAGGTTGCTCCAAGCCCCCTCCAACCTGCCCTTCAACCCCTCCAGGGATGGGGCAGCCACAGCTTCTCGGGGCAACCTGGGCCAGGCTCTCACCACCCTCCCACCAAACAAGTTCTTCCCCACAGCTCAGCTCCATCTCCCCTCTTGCAGTGTCCAACCCTTCCCCCTCCTCCTAGGGCTCCCCTCCCTCATCCAGAGTCCCCCCCCAGCTCTCCTGTAGGCCTGTGGTTTTGGTTTCTTTACTCTTGCAGCATTTATTCTTCATTCTCCCTCTGCTTTGCTGGGAGAATGGAGACTTGTCCCAGCCACTTCAACCCAGAAACCCTTGCCTTCCAGTTAGATGGCACGGGGTGATGGAAACAGCACCCAGCAACGTTCTTCAAGACCTCACAGCACGACGTAAACGTCATCTCACCAGCCACATGGCCTGGAGAGCCATCTCTGGCAGCTGACATGCCCCAGGAGATCAGCTTGTGCCTGGACTGGGGTGACTGGGAGAGCAGTGGGATGAGCAGAGCCATCGTGTCAGTAGGGCAGGTGGTGACAGCAGCGATGGCTCAGAGGTAAGAGGATGGGACCAGTGCTAATCCTGGAGGAGGAGACCTTCCTCTAGGAGCTTCATGCTGCTCCCTTACTACAGAAGGAGGCCACCAACAGCACCTCATCTCCTGCATCTCCTTTCTACCTGAACCTAAAGCTTCCTGGGGCTGCACCAGGAGCCACTGAGAGAAGGATGGTGTGTCTCTAGGAAAGGTCCTTCTCCTAAAGACACCACAAAGTGGAGAAGGGTTGGAAGATGTGCTCCTGGACTAAAAGGAGCTTTCTGGTGGCATGCAAGGTACAGGAGATGACCACCACTGTGGCTACCGCACATGAAGGTTGGGCCACCAGACACAACACAGGGGTCTCACCCCAACCCTTGCCTCTGCTGATAACCAGCACTTTGGAGGACACACAGGAAAACTGGGCACCAGTTCTGGCCAGTTTGCCAGCTCGAGAGAGGACGGTCTAAAAAGGCTGTTTTCCTTCAACTTTCTCACGTGCAACTCACCCAAGGAGCTCTGTCCATGAAAACGAGAGTTTTCCAGACCCAGACACTGGTCCATGTCCATGGCCCCAGGTCCTGGTGGCCACATCCCGAGTCATCATCACCCAGAAGTGTGAGATGAGGGCAATGCACCTATTTTGGCCACTTTTGTCTCTGCCCAGGGTGGTGTCCCTTCCTTGGGCTGGGTTCTTCCTGCCTCCCTGTGCCCACAAGGCATTTTGAGGCAGAAAGAACCTGTTTTGGGATTATCCATCCTGTTTTCAGGTTGGAGCTTCTTTTAAAATTTCTTTTAAAAGGTCTCCTGGGACAGATTTGTCCTGCTAAATAGGTTGTGGCCACTTCCTACACCCACAGCTTCTCCCTGCCTCTTAGCCGGGGTGTGGTGAGGAGCTGCGAAACCACAGCCAGCCCAGAAAAGGTCACCAGAAAACAAACACAAGGCTCTTCCTAAGACCCAAGTGTGGGAGGGCAGCCTGGCAGGTCCTCACGGGGCTCTGGAGAGGGATGAACCCTCCCTGGCAAGGCAGGAGCATCACAAACCCCAGTTTTGCCCTTCTCCCTCCAGCCCCTGGACCCTCTCCACCGCTGTACCTTGGTGGGAAGGTCTCGGTGCAGAGGTTCTCCACGTCCATGCTCCCAGCCCAGCAAGATTTCCTCTCCTGCCCAGGAGCTCCTCCCCAAGCCATTGGACCCACCACCCTCACATCCATGACCAGTGTCTCTGCCCCTCGTCCCAGTGGTCTCCAGAGCCATTTTGCTGCCCAACAAGCCCAGCCAGATCCCATGACCCACCCAGGAGCATGCACAGAGACTGGTTCCTTACCTTTGAATCCCCTCAACCCCACTGGACCGGGAGGGCCAAGGTCTCCTTGGTCCCCTTTCAAGCCACGCGGTCCTGGTGGTCCTCTTTCCCCAGGTAGCCCTGGAGCGGGGAAAAAAAAGAGGCAAAATGAGCCTGTTTGCAGCAGAGACCTACAAACCCCAGATGTTCACACCCACACACACGTGTCCTGCTTCCCAGCAGATGTGCTGGGTGGTCTCTGGTTCTTGGCCAGGAGTTGGGGACCATCAGGAGACACCTGAGAATCCAGACCATCCTCTCTTTGTGCACCCGCCCCCAGACACAGGATGGATTTAACCCAGAGATGGGCTGGTGATAATGCAGCTCTGGGCATCTTAAGGCTCAGATGAAGGTAAGTGGGCTCCAAAGCTGGAGATCAAGAAGGAAGAGTGGGGAGCCAGGGTGGAGCAGAGACCCCAGGGAGACATGAGGTGCCCAGCATGAGCTGAGGGCCCCTTGCATCCCTGCAGGTTTGCTATTTATGGGAGAAGGGTTTGCATAAAACCCCTTTATCTGAACACCCCTGACCTCCAGGAGGTGGGAAATGGGGGCTAGAGTTTGGGAGCTTGGGCTTCTTTCACATCCAAACCCCAGAGGTGACCTCCATCCATGCAGGCCAGCAAGGGGAGGGGGATGGAGGGACCCCTGTGAGGGTGAAGGGCTCTGGTGGGACCTGGAGGGTGGTACCACCAGATGGACCCAGCAGAGACTCAGCCCAAGTTCAAGCCTGAGCTGGATCTGAAGGTCCTGGAGGAGAAGCCCTTCAGATGGAGCCCATCTCCTGTGCCCGTGCTGGGGGAGCCCTGAATTCCCTTGGCACCGCGCCTCCCTTCTGTCCCCCCGGGCTGGGCTTTTCCACACTTAGTCAATATTTTCCTCTGGTTTAAGAGGGAAAAAGAGCTGCCAGGAGGAATTTTGGGCACCAGCTCCAGTGGACGTGTTCTGGGGGCTTAACCCTTTCCCTGCTGCGTCCAGCCAACGCCTCACCTCCTAGACCTGGCTATGGATTTGGGCAGAGGAGCCAGGGCAGAAGCAGGAGGGTAGATTCCCTCTGAAAAAGGGGATTTATCAGGGATGTTCTCCAATGCCTGTACCTGACCTTCTCCTACCCAAAGGGCTGGTGTGGTGACCACATCCAGAAAAGCACCAGAAAAAGCGAGACGGAGAAAAGGCCTAAAAATAGTGGCCGTTGCAGCAACTCTTCCCGAAGGTGAACCCTCCCAAAATTGTTTTGTTTTTCTGTTTAAATAAAAAAAAAAAAAAGGAAAGGAAAGAAGCCAGACGATATATTTCTGATGCTTGTTACACCCAAGAAAAACAGCCATGAATCTGTCAACGCAAAAAAATATAGCTGTCGGTGAAAGGAGCAGGGGCTTTCGGAGAGCGATCGCGTTTCCAAGCTGGCTCTGCCCCACTTGGCCGGTCCCACCACCCACCAGGGAGCTGGGAGAATGGGACTACCAAAAATCTGAGGTTTTAAGCCCAACCCAGGCCCAGCACTGAGATGCTCGGATGTGCTGAACCCCTCCCTGCCATGACACTGATTGTCCTACGTGGGTCGTGTCTTCAGCAAGTCAAGGTAGAGCCAGGGTTGGACACCCCTGGATGGAGAAGGAGGTCCACGCCCCAGGCAGGCCAGATCCCCAACAAAGAAGAGCCTTATGGAGAGAGAAACCCGCAGAAAGTCCTCACCAAAGGGGATCCTCCACCACCTCTGGGCTTGGCTGCAAAGCCAATATTTCTAGGTTTGACTTAAAATTAGAACCAGGCTCCAGCCGAGTCCTGTTCTCAGGGTGGTGGGGTTTCTCTTGTTTATTTAATTGGATTTCTCTCAAAAACAATGGTTGGAATTAAGGAGGGATGGAAAGAACTGGCATTCTTGGTGTTGAAAAAAAAAAAGTCCTATGAGAAGCCCCAGAGCTGCAGTCGGGGGCCAAGTCCTCTCTGCCAGGCTGGAGGGTCCACACCAGGTCCCCAGTGTCCAGGCAGTGGGTCCAGCCCTGGAGCCTTGTAAGGACTTGGCTTTAGAGGAACATGGGGTGGTGGCCAGGTCCTGCACAAACCTGGGCTGGGTGGCTGTGTCAAAGGAGCCTGGGGGACATCAACCTGCAGGTGATGGACCCTCAGAGCTCTGCCTGTCCTGGGGCAAGCTGGGAGGTGAGGCTTTTTGTCCCTTTTTGCAGTCTGGCAGGAGATGGGGCAATGGGTTAATCCTGTTGTTCTTCAAGACTTGTGCCTACCCAACCATGTCCCAAGGGTTGGGGAGTCACCAGGAGGTGTCCCATTGACTCTACGGAATTTGGGTGAAGGCTTGAAGGTTTATGGGCACCACGGATGTGTCATTCCTTACCTCGCAGCCCAGGCAGGCCAGGAAGACCAGGTTCACCCTCCATCCCTTCATTGCCTTGGTCTCCTTTGGGTCCTGGTGGCCCTGAAACACAGCAGGTGTTCGCAGTCAGATGCATGAAGGCAGGTACCCACCCACTCACCCTTCACCAGCCGTTATCACTCATCAGCTCTCCAGGAACCTCTGAAAAAACACAGATCCCTGCAGAGTGGAGTAAAGTGAAGTGAGGGACCTTGCCAGCAGCCTTCTTCCATGATCTACAGATTTTAAAGGCCAAATGCGACTCCATCAGCCCATCTCACAAGCCAGAAAACTTCACCTTGCAGATCCCTCAAGTTCCCACCTTGACCGTGACTCTACGGCAAATTCCAGTCTCCTGGAATTTCCTTTTTGACCCAAAGTTGTGACATCACCAATGAAATAAGGTTAAGAAAAAAGAAATAGAAAAAAAAATAATAAATAATGCATTTTGGAAATAATGAGATGAACCTTGAGGAGGGGATTTTGCATCACTGATCTCATCAGGATCTGGCCATCGGTGGTTGCTTTTCGGTGTAAACTCTGGTGAGTGAGCAGAAAGCTCCAGCCCAGTCAGAGAGTTTTATTCCTCAGCCTGCAAAGGGCCAAGTCCAAAAAGCTGAAAACAATTATGAGCTAAATCAATTGGAAGAAAGAATTTGAACAGAGAAAAAAAAAAAAAAAAGAAAAAGCCTCATGGGATGACAGAAAATAGGGCAGAGAGAGGCCTGGAGGGGTCATTTGGTCTTTGTCCTACCACGCCAGGGTGATAATTAGAAACTGTTAAATGCTGTTTTCCTAGAAACCCCAAAAGCCATAATCTCCCAGTGGCTGCAGAGAGCAAATACAGGCAACGTGGTAATGAGAAAGGATCAGGGGGAGATGTTTAGCAGCTCTAATTAATGACTAAGTTGGATTTGCAAATATTGTGCAGAAATTAGTGGGTTCCTAAGCAGATGAAGAGCAGCAAGCTCAGCAAATGTCCTGAGCTAGAGGTGGTCTGGGACTGGGAGAGAAACTGTAGCTGCCCCATCCCTGGAGGGGTTCAAGGGCAGGTTAGAGGGGGCTTGGAGCAACCTGGGCTGGTGGGAGGTGTCCCTGCCCAGGGCAGGGGGTGGCACTGGGGGGGCTTTAAGGTCCCTTTCCACCCAAACCAGGCTGTGATTCCATAATTCTATGAAATATGGCATTATCTTGCCCTGGGTTCCCTCTTCCCATGGTGATGGGCATCTCCAGGACGTGGGGCTGAACCCTGGGGACACATCTCCCGTTCTTGGTTGGTAAAACAAAAGGATGCAAAGAACAATGGGCACCCGGGAGAGCAGAGTACAATGAGGAGGCATTTTTTGGGTGGGAAGAAGGGGAACCACGCACAGCAGGGACACTGCCTGGGCCTGGGTAGGAGAGGCAGGATCCTCTGTGATGCAGAAGGTCCAGCAATGTTCAAGAGCTGCTCCAGACGTGGCTGTGGGGCAGAGACCAGGCAAGGTGTGCGTTCTATGAAGGTGCTGGATGGCTGGTGAAAGAATTTTCATTCCCATGGCATTAGCAGACATTAAATCATAGAATCATGGAATGGTTTGGGTGGGAAGGGACCTTCAAAGTCCATCTAGTCCAACCCGCTGCCATAGGCAAGGACATCTTCATCTAGTCTGGGTTGCTCAGAGCCCCATCCAACTTGACCTGGAATGTTTCCACCACCTCTCTGGGCAACCTGGGGCAGGGTCTCACCACCCTCAGAATAAAACTACATGTTCTTAAATCCACTTTCTTGCCGTCTGGAGTCCGAAAAACTGTATAAACAGGCAAATAAATAATAACCCTGGAAACATCTGTGGTAGGAGCCACCGAGGAAAGGTCTCCCTTTTCATCACCTCGCATTTGTCCCGAGTGTCATCTCCGAGGGGAAGGGGTCCCACACCAACGGCACTGAGGGAAAACTGCTGCTGACATAGAACATCTTGTTTCCCCTCTCCAGCGTGGCTCAGCTGAGGTCCTCTCTGCGGGGGCAGCTCCGACAACTTCCATCTGCTCTGGTTTTATGGGCACGCTGGGAAATAACCCACACTAGGGCCCCACCTCGGTTCTGTTAACCCTGGAAGGGACATGGGAGCTGCCCTTCCTCCTTAAAATCAGCTGCTACAGTGCGGTCCCCGGGTCCTCTGCCACCATCTCATCTCATCTCATCTCATCTCATCTCATCTCATCTCAATCTCATCCCATCTCATCTCAATCTCATCCCATCCCTCCTCCTCCATTTCCATCTCCCCTCTTCCCTCTCCCATCTCAGAAAACCATCCCAGAAAACCATCCCACAAGACAAGGGCATGGACAGGCTAAGAAGGGAACTAAGTCTCCTGGAAGATGACCACAGCCAACAGACCATGTCATCTGCTCCGTAAGAGCTGGAGGCCAGGAGAACACGGCCAGGGAGGAGACATGTTGTCCCTTATTCCCTTTCCCTGTCAGAAACGGGGCTTGGGGATGGTCAGATGGATGGGCTGATCCTGTTTGCTGGCTCTTAGGTTTTGGCATTCATCCTTCAGAGCTGTTCCCACAGAGATGAACCCTGGGGTCCACCAGCCACCAGAACATCTCCTCCTGGTTACATCCAGGCAGGGAGACACGGCTCCATCCCCAGGACACGGGGAACAGCTGGGGTGGAGGACGGAGGAGGACTGGGAGGGGTGGTTGGGAGAGGCTGAGCAGCACCGCAGACACCCTGCCAAGCTGGTCCCCACCCCACAAGTGCTTGAGGTTTTGCTCTCAGGAGAGAAAACCCCAGCCTGGATGCAACCCAGCTTCATCCTTCTGCCCGCACGGGGACGGGCCGCTCACAACTGCACCAGCGGAGGAGAAAAACCCTCCAAAACCATGGGGATGAGGGCTTTGGTGACGTGCACAGACCTGACGGCCAGATGGGGACGGTTGCAATCACCCCGCTGCGAGCCAGGACATCCCACCCAGCGAGTCCTGCGGGCGGTGGATCCCGGGCGTCCTCCCACCCTCATTTAAGAGCCAGATCCCCGCTGCGAAGCGAGGCCAAGCCCTCTGTGAGACACGCGAGTCGCTTGGAGACCAGCCTGGGGACCTCCTCAAGCTGCCATCACCAGCAAGCAGCCTCAATCCCAGAGCCTGGGGTAATTAAGGTCTTTGGGGAGGGAGGGGGGAAAGAAAACTCCCCCCCAGGCAGGCAGCCCTGCATCTCCCAGGGCTGGATTGGCAGCTGGGAGCAGGGTGGATTCATCTGAGGATGTTTGGAGCCAGGATGAAGGGACCTGGGCACAAAGCTCCTAAGGTTATCCAGCCCCAGGGTCCATCGCTGGGGAGGGGGGGAGGTGGGGGCTGCCAGGAATGTGTCAGGGCTTGGGAGGATAAATCAGGTGCCGGCCCCATCGGGAGGGGATTTGTTTTGCTTTGGGCTCATGTTAATTGGACTAATGTGGCGCATGGATGCCTGGTAGTCCCCTTCCTCGGTGGCTTCATCCACGAGAGGGTGACATCCTCCCCACAGCAGTTAGAGGGGAAGAGAGGGCACCCAGGGGGTGGGTTGGCAGCTGGGAAAAACCTCAAAGCAGTGGGTGCAACATGGTCCCAAGCAGCCCCAAACCAGGCATCAGGAGCCAACGTCCTCCAAGGACCAAGGGAATGACCCCAATGAGCTGCTGGTACCTAAGGGTGATGGTTGGCCTAGATGGGGACACGTAGCTCCTGTGGTTCCAACCACATCTGTCCCCTCCTGGGGGGCAGAGGGCAAGGGAGCAAGTGCCTTCACATCAGCCCCTTCCTTCCCCATCTGGAATTTCATCTGGAAGCACCAGAAATGAAGCTCTGCTTGTGTCGGGGGGGGTTCGTGGCAGAGGAACAGCCCATTGCATCTCCTCAGGTGTGACCCGACAGCCTAGAAGTGGGGCAGCATCTGCCCCCCAACCTCTCGCTCTGCCCCTCAAGAGCTTGCACTGGGTTCTTCTGTCTTTCTCCATGGTTTTTCCCCTCCTGTGGCCAGTTCATTCCCTTGGGACTGAACGAGCCACCCTGGCCCAGGTTGCCCAGAGAGGTGGTGGATGCCTCATCCCTGGAGATGTTCAAGGCCAGGTTGGACAGGGCTCTGAGCAACCTGGTCTAGTTGAAGATGTCCTTTGGGACTAGATGGCCTTTGAAGGTTCCTTCCCACCCAAACCATTCCATGATTCAGTCATCTAGGAGGGGCTGAGGGTGGTAAAGGAGAAGACAGGAGGAAGAAAATGGAGTAAAGGAGATGTAAAGACAAGTGGAATGACCAGTGATGACTATGGGCAGCTGGTGGGCAGCCATCTCCTTGACCACTGCAGTACAAACCAGGACAAAAGCTCACCATCTACAGCGCTGTCTCAGAGTTCTCCCAGGCATCATTGAGGGAACCTTGGGAGCTTTCTTCCTAACATGGGTAGGGGAGCATTTGGAGGGTCCCAACTACACGGAGTCCAAGGTGATGGAGATGCCTGAACACTGCAGACACCTAAATGGCAGCATCTGATGGATTTGATGTCCCCTGAGACATCCCCACAGGACATCCCCACGTCACAGGGACCACTTCCACACCCCACTCCAAAGCATCAAGGACACCCTCTTCCTCACGACAGCTTCATGCACCAGCGATGGAGCTGCATACAAGAGGTTTTGAACTTACCCCGTATCACAGAGATGTTCTTCAGGGCCACAGAGTGCTCCCAGTCCTTCAGCCGCAGGTCCTCGGTCACGTTGTTGAGGATGGCCAGCTCGTGCTTCAGCTGCTCCTCCATGGCTATATGGATGAGCCGCATCTGCCGGGCATCTTCGGTGGCGTTGCTGATCAGCACCTGCAGGTCCTGGATGCGGGTGTGGTGGATGTTTACGTCGTAGGAGAAGGTCCTGTTCATGGTGTCCACGGCCCCGCTGACAGCCGTCACCTGGTCACTCAGGCTCTCCACCCTGCTGCCCAGGTGGCTCAGGAGGTGGTCGTGGTGCTGCAGCAGAAGCCGGCTGCTGTTGCCTTCCACGGAGAGCTTGTACATCTCCTGCTGAGCCGCGTCGCTCTGCTGGGTCAAGCTGTCCCAGAGGTTGGACACCGCCTTGTCAGTTTGGCTGGCCTGGGTCTGCAGGCTCCAGAGAAGCCCTTCCAGCTTCTGCAGTGACCCCGTCATGAGGAACAAGGAGTCCGAGTGGTTCTGCAGGAGGTCCTGGAGCCTCCAGATGTGATCGAGCACATCCCCCTTCAGAGGTAGGTGCAGCAGCTTCAGCTGCATGTCCCTAAAGCTCTCGTTGAGGCGGTTGACGTTCCCCATCAGTGCCTTCAGGTCCTCAGGGGATGTCTGTGGCCTGGAGACTGCAAGAGATGGAGAAAAGGGGGCATCAGAAACCACCCCATGGAGGTGGGGACCCTCCTTGAGAGGTGCAACCCCATCTCCTCCCAAGGATTGCTTGGACATCCCCCTGTTCCTTGGTGCTTGGAGGTGAAAGCCCTACCTCAAACCCCAAAAGGTTCATCCCATCAGCCCCTCGGTTTTCTCCACAGTTGGAGGAGTTTGGTTGCTGAAGGGCTGGAGAAGGAGGGACATGGCTCGGGAAGAACAGCAAAGAATCCCAGCAGCTCTGGGCTTCGGGGTGGCTCCGGTCTTTGCCAGATGGATCACGATGCTACAAAGCTCTGCCTTGTGGCTTCACCTTCGGTCAGAGGCCTGGCTGTTAACAGCATCCGCTTCCCTTTCCTAAAAACAGACCTTCAAAACCTGCTTCTTCCCCCACCGAGGTTTTAATTTTCATTTCAACCATCAGGTTTCCCTTCTGGCCACTGATCCTGGGCCTGGGCTCAGCCCCTTGCTCTATAATGAAGACCATCAGGTTGGTTCGGCAGGTCTCCACGGCTCTGGGTGCGGTTTGCTGTCAGCCTCCAAGCATCACATCCCGCATCCCGGGGCTGCCAGGGCTCTTCCCGAGGGAAGGAAGGAGGGAGGAAACCCACCCCAGATCAGGAACATCCTCATCCCGCATCCCAGGGCTGCCAGGGCTCTTCCCAAGGGAGGAAACCCACCCCGACCCGAGAGCATCCTCATCCCGCATCCCAGGGCTGCCGATGGAGGAAACCCACCCCGGGATGCTCAGGAGCATCCTTCACCCCCTGCTTCTGCATCCCTGGTGGGACACAGCTCCCGGCCATCCAGCCACCCACCCCAACCCCTTAACTGGTGTTGTACCAGCTCCCAGAGCACCAAGATGGGATTTGGAGAGGAAACCTGGAAATCTGGGGGGATCCTCTTGCTCTCAGCAGATCCTGTCACTGCTCCAGTAGCCCCCTGCCCAGCAAGCCCAGTAGCACCCAGTAAAGCCTCATCCTGGACGCCATCACCCCAATACACCCCAAAAAAAACCCTTATCCAGGCAGGGAATAACATCTTCCCCCTCTGCCTTGTGCTGTCACTGGGTCTCCATCGCAGCCTGGGGTGGGGGACTCAAAGCCAAACCCACACGAATAATGAGATGATTTTCTTTTTTAAAAAAAAAAAAAAAAGAAAAACAATAATAAATAATCCTTATTGTTCTTTAAGCTGTGGTGGGGCTCGGGCTGGCGCGGGACCGGCCTGGCAGCTCACCCCCTCCCTTCCACCGAGGAGAAGTGGAGGGAAGGCATTTGGTTTGAATTAAAACCGCTGGAGTAAGGAGAGGGCTCGAGCAGCCGAGCGCACGCGAGGGCTCGGGGCCACCCGCGGTGGCCGGTGCTGGGGGACTGGGGGATTACTGGGAGGACTGGGAGGGACCCATCGTGCCTGGAGAGGGGGCTCTGGGAGCACCGTGGGGTGAGCAACCAACCCCCAGCTCTGCCATGGGCTGGTGGGTGCCATCACGGAGTAGCTGAGCATCTTCCAGGCACCAAGGGCATCATTCCTCTGTTAATTAGCCCCTGTTAATTAATGGCACCACTGGATTATTCCATTTTCCCAAGCTGGGCTTCAGCATGCCAGCTTTGAGCTCTCCTCCTGGGGCATGGGATGCTGTTTGGTCCCCTCTGCTCATCCCAGCTTGTCACCTGTGTCCCTGCCGGGGGACATCTCAAGCCACCAGTCATCACCCATCCCTTCCAGGCACCCGATGGGCACCATTTTGGGGGAGCCTTTGCCTGTGGGGGTTCACAACGGGGAAAACAACCAAGCAACATGCCCAAGGCCACCCCGAGAGGGGACAAATGGCAGGGAAAGACCGCCATGGGGCTGGTCTTCAGCATGGTCATGCCTTCAGCGTGGGTGACCAAAGCTCCTCCATCACGTCTTTCCGGACCCAGAGTGACCACAATGGCTACGGAGACAACCACGGCTTCCTCATGATGAGACCAAGGGGAAAAGCAACCCTGTGTGGCCAGAGCAAGGAGGAATAACCCCAATTCCAGGTCCTGTGGTAGCCAAGGGCTGGGAAGAAGAAGGGATGAGCTTCTCTCTTTGCACCCGCCGTGAGCTGCAAAGCCAGTGGAGTTCCCCAAATTGCCATAAATCACCTCCAACAACCAGCTGGGATCCCAGCAGCTCTGCCCAGCCCAGCCCAGCCCTGGCACCGCAGCCCCCGAGCCCAGAACGAGCCAGGCTCCTCTGGAGCATCCCCCCACAGCCAAAAAACTACATGGAGAACCTTCCAAGCAGCAACACCTCCAGCACGGGCGGGCTGGCCAGCAGCAATCCTGCCTCCCACCTCTCCTGAATCCCAAATATCCTGCCTCCAGGATCTCCTGAATCCCAGATCTCATGCCCCCCACATCTCCTGCCTCCAAAATCTCCTGTGCCTCCAACATCTCCTGAATCCCAGCTCTCCTGCCTCCAAAATCTCCTGCGTCCTAGATCTCCTGCCTCCAAGATCTCCAGACCTGCTCTAGAGCCAGGAACTGGGAGCTGTTGGGGGGGGTCTGTGATCCATGGGGCCAGGTCTATCACCTTCATCTCCACCAGCATCCTCAAATGGGGAGTTTTGGGGCTACATCTCCTGAAATGGAGGGTGCTCCTTTCCTAGGTGGCTTCTGCTGGGCATCCAGGGGTGCCACGCGTGGAAACGTGGGCACGGAGATGGGGTGCAGGTCGGATGCCCGTCCCAAGGACCAGTTCAGGAATGGCCAGGCTCATTAGCCACATCCTAACGAGCCCCGCAGCTCAGGGCCAGGTGTCCAAGTGTGGGGCCAGGTGAGGATCCAGGTTCAAACACCAGAGTGCACGCAGGCAGCTGGGATTTAACCCAAACTTAGGCAAAAAAAAAAAAAAAAAAAAAAAAAAAAAAAAAAAAAAAAAAAAAAAAGGCAAGATCAGGGTCCTAATTTTGGGCTAGGTCTTTTTTTTGGGGGGGGGATAAGATGGGGAGAAAGGGAGTGTGAGTCTCCAGGAGCCAGAGAGCCGCTGCCAGGCTGTGAGAGGGGATATTAAAAGCAGGCAGCCTTGAAACCCCGCCGGCCCCGTTGCCGAAAACATCCTGTTTCCACAGCTCTGAGGTGGCTCGTGGTATTTTTAGCCGTTTACTCATTTTCTCTCCCATTTCTATGGAGCGTGTTGTGAGTCGCAGGACACCTGCCCCAGCCGCCTTCCAAACGATGCCTCGGGGGGAGCCTCCTCGCCAGAACCACCAGCTTCACATGGTGGGGACACCAGGATGTGTTGGGGTATCTCCAACGGTGGGTTGTCCCCCTGCAATGCCCCAGCCCTGCCAGGAAGCACCGTGGGGGGTGCAAGTGTGTGTTTGCACACTCACACAAGTTTCTGTGCGTCTTTGCACTCCCCAGGGAGGATTTTTGGGGAATGTTCCTCCTTTTCCAAGGATAGGATGGGAAGCAGGTGGAGCATCCCCGCTCCCGTGTTGCTGGCCCAGGGATGAAGGGATGCTGGAAGCCCAGGGCATGGACCAAGGGGCAGAGTTGCCCCCTTGCCCTTCCCCAGGGTGGTGAGAAATGGTTTTTGGGGAGCAGCTGAGGTATCGCAGCTCCACAACCCTCTCCAAGATTCTGAAGATGAGGTGGACACTCGTGGTCATTTGGCCTGGGCGGGATGGTGTCTGCTCCAGGTGGGACCTGCTCCAAGCAGAGTCCTCACCGTGGCCATGGAAGGGCAGGGATGGCATCAAATGATGATGATCCTCTTAAAGCATCTTGGCCAGTTCTTCCCAGCCCAAGAAGAATGTGAGAACAAGTCTACTTCATCAAATTCTGTGTCTTTCTGGGCATCTTCCCCTCTGATGAGAGATGAGGGATGCTGAGCAGAAGGTCTCAGCTCTGACACTCTGGTGACACGTCTCCAGCAGCACAAAGTGGGATTTTCCATGGGAAAACCGATCCTCCACCATTAACAGTGCCAATGAATACCCAGCCCTGGTCCTCCAAGAACCATCAGCTCCAACATTGAGGTCCCAGCTGCAGACACCTGAAGCTGAGGAGCATCAGGGTTGTCTCCCTGAGCTTCCCAGCTGGGTGGGGTCTGCTCCCCCTGTCCCCAGACCACCTTCTGCCTATGGTTTTCCTTGAGGAGATAAGACCATGCCGGACACTCTCGGATGGCTCCAGCTCAAGTCCTGGAGATACATCCAGACACATCCCAATCCCAGAGGTTTGGCTTAATGTTCCGGACATGCAGAAAGCAATAATGAACGAGAAGACTTTTCCTCTTCATTTGGCCTTTTCCCCCCTCCCTGCCCTAAGACCACAACCCAGGGGGTAAGATGGTTTTACTGGGGTCAGGCTGGAATCCAGCCACTCCCAGGACTCCAGGAGGGGGGTGACCATGGCCACAAAGCCCCTGGCCCCCTCCCCGATGCCATAATATTGTTGTTCTTGCTGGGGCTGCCCTCGGGGGAGCAGCTGTAGCCCAGCCCAGCCCAGGACACGCGCGTCCGTCCCAAGCTCTTTGCACAATCCATGGCATCCCTCGCTCCAGGGGCTCCGCGGGCCAACAACAACATCCAAACAATGTCAGGCAAGAGAAAGAAGTGGGAGAGGCTTCAAAATTCCTGCTGAACCTTCTCTCTCTCTCCCTTCCCCAGCCCGACAAAAAAAAAAAAAACCAAAACAAAACAAAAAAACCACAAATCA